TACAGAACATTTACCATTACCATTTTTGTTTTTTTTTAATTTTGACATTTTGAGTTTTGTTTATATATCAAGAGAACAGATTTCAGCCATGTTAATGTCTTGCGTTTGAGCCCAAAACCTATCTTACACTTGCCATTTCCTTGACAATACTTTAAAAGACGATCAGATTTCTTACTTTTTCTGAATTTTTTTTGTTGATTCTTATCTAAAGTTGAGTCAAGATGTGTTTGAATCCCAACAATAACCATTTAACTGAATTCCTTGGGCCAGATTTGTATGGAAAAATGTACTCACTGGTCTCTCTCAGTTTCGGGTTCAGTCTGACTTAGGTATAATAAAGGGTTAAAAATAAACCCCATGGGACATTATTTCAGCCTGTTACCTGGCAGAAAAAAAACACCCTATGCACGTTGACCTATGTTTCCCTCTAAACTATCATGTCCTCACAAAATAACTCTTCCCTGAACACAACAAACTGATCTTCGTCATAACAATGTAATGTTTATGACATGCCAAACAATGTACATCTTTTTACCAATCCCTGTCATGTATATTTAAAGTATCCATAGCAGTGAGTGGTACACTGACTTTTGTTGAGCCTGCTTTAAGTAAGTTCTATCTTTTGCACTCCCAGTGATTTAGATTATTTATTCTTAAGAGCAGAGGGGCAACGTATTATCACAGCATTACACCTCAGAAAGATTAGCTGCTGTGACAAAGCCTAAAGCCACTTCAAAATCTTCTTATTTCTTTAGTCGTTTTAATCAAATGTATTTGTAAAGTGCTTTGAACCTCAGTTTTCGATGTGCAGTCCAAATAAAGATTATCAAAAGATGATTGCACAGTGCACAAATACAGAAAGACAATAAACAGCCTCTGGCCACAAAGAAGGGAGGAGAAACTGTTGCAGGACTCTTGGCACTGCTGTTGAGCTCCACAGGAGCACATCTTGTATCTCAAGGATGTTTCTTTAACCAGAATGTGGAGTTTCCTCCCATGGTCAGTCTCCTCCTCTGATTGCTGGATTGCTCTTTCCTTAACAAATCATATTCCCTTTTTGTAATTATTCTGTCCATAATGCTTCTTGTAACAATAAGCAGCTTCACTTGTAATTACCTCTGCTCAGGGTCACATTAGTGGAACTAGTTTCAGTTCGGCTTCATTACCTTTGTTTAGTCACTTTTTGAACCATGTACCTGTTCAGTCTCAACCCTGTCATTTAACACACTAACCCTTCCTCATCAGAAGTATGTATTCAGACCTAAAATGTTCATGTCATGTAGGCTCACAGAATGTATTTTCATCAATACAAAAATAAAAATCACTGTAGTCTTACCTTTTAATAAAGCAGGTATGTTGGCGGTCATTATGAGATACAATAGGATCTGTATCGACAGGTAAAAAATAATCACTGAAAGGCGGTAGAGAAAGTATCACAAATATTTGAAAATACCTATAATCTAATTAGGTATAGGCAATTAAAATGATTCAGTACATGCACAACACCATATTTAATACTATGGGGCTTCCCTATATGTACAGTGCCTTGCGAAAGTATTCGGCCCCCCTTTTCGACCTTTTGCCTCATTTCAGGCTTCAAACATAAAGATATAAAACTGTAATTTTTTGTGAAGAATCAACAACAAGTGGGACACAATTATGAAGTGGAACGAAATTTATTGGATATTTCAAACCTTTTTAACAAATAAAAAACTTAAAAATTGGGCGTGAAAAAATTATTCAGCCCCTTTACTTTCAGTGCAGCAAACTCTCTTCAGAAGTTCAGTGAGGATCTCTGAATGATCCAATGTTGACCTAAATGACTAATGACGATAAATAGAATCCACCTGTGTGAAATCAAGTCTCCGTATAAATGCACCTGCTCTGTGATAGTCTCAGAGGTCCGTTTAAAGCGCAGAGAGCATCATGAAGAACAAGGAACACACCAGGCAGGTCTGAGATACTGTTGTGGAGAAGTTTAAAGCTGGATTTGGATACAAAAAGATTTCCCAAGCTTTAAACATCCCAAGGAGCACTGTGCAAGCGATAATATTGAAATGGAAGGAGTATCAGACCACTGCAAATCTACGAAAACCCGGCCGTCCCTCTAAACTTTCAGCTCATACAAGGAGAAGACTGATCAGAGATGCAGCCAAGAGGCCCATGATCACTCTGGATGAACTGCAGAGATCTACAGCTGAGGTTGGAGACTCTGTCCATAGGACAACAATTAGTCGTATACTGCACAAATCTGGCCTTTATGGAAGAGTGGCAAGAAGAAAGCCATTTGTTAAAGATATCCATAAAAAGTCTTGTTTAAAGTTTGCCACAAGCCACCTGGGAGACACACCAAACATGTGGAAGAAGGTGCTCTGGTCATATGAAACCAAAATCGAACTTTTTGGCAACAATGCAAAACGTTATGTTTGGCGTAAAAGCAACACAGCTCATCACCCTGAACACACCATCCCCACTGTCAAACATGGTGGCAGCATCATGGTTTGGGCCTGCTTTTCTTCAGCAGGGACAGGGAAGATGGTTAAAATTGATGGGAAGATGGATGGAGCCAAATACAGGACCATTCTGGAAGAAAACCTGATGGCGTCTGCAAAAGACCTGAGACTGGGACGGAGATTTGTCTTCCAACAAGACAATGATCCAAAACAAAGCAAAATCTACACTGGAATGGTTCCCAAATAAACATATCCAGGTGTTAGAATGGCCAAGTCAAAGTCCAGACCTGAATCCATTCGAGAATCTGTGGAAAGAACTGAAAACTGCTGTTCACAAACGCTCTCCATCCAACCTCGCTGAGCTCGAGCTGTTTTGCAAGGAGGAATGGGCAAAAATTTCAGTCTCTCGATGTGTAAAACTGATGGAGACGTACCCCAAGCGACTTACAGCTGTAATCGCAGCAAAAGGTGGCGCTACAAAGTATTAACTTAAAGGGGGCTGAATAATTTTGCACGCCCAATTTTTCAGTTTTTTATTTGTTAAAGTTTGAAATATCCAATAAATTTCGTTCCACTTCATGATTGTGTCCCACTTGTTGTTGGTTCTTCACAAAAAATTACAGTTTTATATCTTTATGTTTGAAGCCTGCAATGTGGCAAAAGGTTGAAAAGTTCAAGGGGGCCGAATACTTTCGCAAGGCACTGTGTGTATACACACACACACATACACACACACATATATATATATGAGGTCATATACTTTACATTCCTGTACACATTTAATGATTGTTACATAGAGATTTATCTCTGTCAAGGAGATCCAGTCTAGCCTTGCTGCTGAGGCTGTTTTTGCTACAGCCTCAGCCACGTCCTCTGACACGGAATAGGTTCACTTTATTTCAAGTGTGTCTTAAAATGATACTCAGATGACATAAGTACACTGGCAGTGTTTTTGTTTGATGAGATTGTTTCTTCTGTCTATACTGGCCACAGAGACATCCTTTCATTTGGGCGATTTTGATGTAAGCAATGGGTAGCAAAATCCTCAGCCCTTTTTTTGTGCAAAAATGCATTCTAAAGTTCATCAAAACTAATTTTAAGGTGACAGTAGTCAGGAGTTAGACAGATCAAGTAGGTATCTTCTAAAGCTGCAGTGTTTTGAAAGTACTGATGCTTCAACTCTCCAGTTTGTTGCATGCTTGTGGAAGTCATTTTTACTCAAGGTAATACATTACCTTGTACATACATTAACATTGTGCAACAGAGTGTAGCAGCAAAATAAGAAGTACTGAAATTAAGCTGTGGCTTGTTCGGCCCAAAACAAGGAGGAGTTTCGAGCACATGGTTATACAGTTTGATTTAGCCAAAAAGGCTTGCTCTTTGAGGGAGCTCTCTCTAAGAATCTAAGCTGCAATGGCAACTGGGAGCACTAATCCCCCCTTTAGCAAATACATGCATGAACATTAGATCTTAACATAAACTCAGCACACACGCAGGAGGTTGGGGTGGTGGAGAGAGATGCAGCAGCAAACAGCATAATCAGCTGAGTAATAATGAAACGTGTCAGGTTTAAAGGCTTCTGTGTGCAACTGTATGAATATGATGAGGGTGTTACTAGCCATGGTAGCCAGGCAGCCGGTCATCGAGTCACTGATGGCACTCATGTGGGCTCATGTGTTTGGGAAGTGGTATCAATGTATCACAGCACCATTTTGACATCAAATATCCAGTTCATGTAATACATCAATGGGACTGTCATAATGCTCAGTTTATTTGCAAAGGCATGCAGCAACAGGCTCCCTCAACAACCCTGACTCTCAACAAACCAGTGGCGATCATCTGTTGTTGAAGCGAACAAGGGACAATATGATGACATTTCACCATTAAGCATTCATGTTACAAGAGAAAGGGTGGAATTATGTTCAACTTCCTCTTTGAATAGGAGTGCATTGGGCTTCTCCAGCATGAGTGAACTATCTCATGCTACTGAAGTTATCACATCCACGAGCAGACCTGAGCTTCAGCTGGCACTAGCCCAGTTAAATCCGCAAGTTAAAACATTTGGCTTAAAATGCGGGAGTCCCATATAAAGTTGTGAGAAAGCACTGGGCTCAGTGGGTTGTGTACTGTATTTGAATGCTTAAGTATATCACAATAATTGTCATTGCCTTCATCACATTTGTTATTGCATGATAGAGCAGTGAAAAGCATGGGACTAATGAATGCTATTCATTATTGATGGTCTTCAAAGATGACAAATTCATTATAGCTTTTTTTGGCAATAGCTTGCTCAATCGGTGAGTACTGGATGTCAGAGCATCATTGAATTCACAAAACATGGATAGTTTACAATTTAGATTTTGTAAACATGTTATTTCTTTGTGAAGTTTTGAGAGGCAAGACTCCGCAAGTTGATTTTCACACTGCAGTGAAATGAAAGAATGACCAGCTGCCTAGAAAGTTAGAGATTAATCAAAGCTGTGGTGCTTCGACAAAATTCTTGATTTTGCTCTTGCTTCATCCACCCTCTCTGAATCTCATCCACAGGTGGGTAAGATCAGAAAGACAGCAGCCCGGAGGAGGGAGTACCACATACTGTTCATGGTTCTGACCACAGCGGCCTGCTACCTATTGTGCTGGATGCCTTACGGTGTCGTGGCAATGATGGCAACATTCGGCCCGCCCAACATCATTAGTCCTGTGGCCAGCGTTGTGCCCTCACTACTGGCTAAGAGCAGCACTGTCATTAACCCTCTCATCTACATACTTATGAATAAACAGGTGAGTGAGCAACGTGGGTGGTTGACTCATTTGAAAATGACAAGCACAATTTGACAGGTACAACAGCTTTATTTACACAGTAAGAAAAAGACAAATTACAACCAAAATCCTACAAATATCAAGAAGAGAATTTAATGACAAATTAAAGTCATGAAGAACACCCTAAGGTTGTCGGGAGTGAAAACAGGAACTCTTATTAGGTTCAGTCATGGATGCTTCTTTTTCTCTTCCTCTTTTTAGGAATCCAACAGGAGGGAAATGTAATAAAAAAAACTTAAATGTTGAACAATCCTTAAGAGGCAGTGTGGTGCAGCAATTCCCACAATACAGAGTAAAAACAAGACATGAAAAATAGGCCTCGAGAGTAAAGAGAGGAGGGAAAGAGGCAGACTGGGAAAGTAAAATAAATATGTCTTCAAACATGTTTTCTCATCTCACCCCTGGTCAACAATAACGTGTCGGCACAATGTCCTGTATTTAATTCTGGCAATAAAATTGTTGTCTTGAAGAGGATTAAACATTAAATTAAATTCCACCTTAAGCATTCCAGAGAAAAGCAATAGCGCCTTAAAGTCCTGCTATTACTCTGACTCTCTCATCCCGTGCTCAACCCAACCCTGCTAAGACATAAGAAAAAATGGAATTTGGCACTTGATTAAGTGCTCCCAGGGAACTACTAATAACTGCACCGCAGCTGGATGTGATTTTCCCTGTCCATAAGCATGCACTACAATCTGCAGAACACAGCAAAAAAAAAAAAAAAAAAAAAAAAAGAATTATAGCACAATCGCCTCTCACAACATTAATGACAATGGTGTCTACTTGCAGCACAGTACAGCACAGACACTTTAAAGACTCTTAGCCCTGATCCTGATTTGCATGCTTTGTGCACTGTAAAGTAATCAAAAAGGTATTAAAATTTACATGTACAATGTTCAGGGTTTTTGCACCTTCAGTGTGTTACAATCACAAGCAATAAAACATTTTATAATTATCTAAAAACATGACAGCAGAGTTGAGAACCTGTATGATTTAAAATGAATAATGATATAATCTCCAAAGTTTTAGAAAACGCTTCCTTTCTTCTTCTTTTTTTTTTAACCTTGATTGCAGTCCTCTGACTTTACTGGGTTCCTTGTTCCAATAATCTTCTAATGACATGCCAAACAATCCACCTGGGTATCAAACCTCACTTTCTTTTTCATTCCAAGCTAAACACATCCATAGCATCTCAAAAACAGTGTAGTAGGGCTGGGCGATATAACTATACATATAATGTGAGACGATTTGTCAAATGTTAAGAGATATTTCTATACAATTTATACCGAGAGAGCTTGCAAATCAATGAGAACTACATTGTGGTAATATTAGATTTACAGAATTTTGCATCAATGTGATGAAGTACCTTTGTCATGTATGTAATTCACTGAATTATTCTTTCCCATCTGGTTATTTCAACTATACACACACTCAGTTGCCACCTTATTAGGACCACTTAGCTAAAAGTAATGCAGTCTAATGCAAGAGCAGTAAATCACAACTTCATAACGGTTAGAGTGGTCTGTTTTTGAGGTAACTGTTTTAGAGAGATGTTGATTCAACTGTATGATCATTTTGCTGGCTGCAGTGTGTGGTGCTGCATTCATCTAAGTTTCTAATATTTTGTCCACTACCATTTATTTGAATGAATTTATTGCAGGGCTTTAACAAAGTTTACCTAATAAACTGGCAACTGAGTGTAGATTCTCAACAGAATTTCGAGAAAATTTACTGTATCGCGAATATACGAGTTTTGCAATATAAAACAGCAAATTTGATCTATATCGCCCACCCCGACTCAAGTATTGAAAATGGGCACCAAATTCTTGGTCCGATGCATGTTTCTTTCATTAGATCAGGTATTGCCTGAGCTATAAAACATTTTTTGTTTTGCAAAAAAAAAAAAAAAGGGTTTTAAAAAATGTATCGTTTTGTTATCAGCACAGTGCATGTTTGCAATAGTACTGACACATTTTAGATGATACCCAGCCCTACTCAACAAGTAATGCTTAGCCCCAGATTTTTTTTTATTTTTTTTTAAACATACTACCACTACTAATACAGAGCCATCTAATTCAACAAAAAAAAGTTTTCACATCTTATACCACAACCAATGGCACAAGAACATTTCGTAGAATACCACACGTACCAATAAACATCTGTCATATGACTGAATGTCAGCAGCAAAAATCACAACCGATCCTCCTCTAGACACTGAACAAAAACCTCCAGAGCTGCAGATGTGGCACTGACTGACTGTAAACATAAAAAAATCACCCTAGCTGGAGACAAAGCAAGTATGATGATTACCGGTTCAAATACCTTTATAATAGTCCCCCATCTTAGGGTATAGACCAACAAACCAGAGGATTCAGGAAATATTTATAGTTGGAAATAATAGTAGGAAATGAGCTTCATGCTGTTACATGACAAAGAAATAACCCTGCACATATGCAGACCATACTGCAATTGTGAGTTCAAGGGAGGATTTGGCCGTTACACGCAGTGGTAAAATTACATTCAATAAAGAGTAAGCTGACCGTTAAAAACAGGGTCTGGTGAAGGCTGGGCTGAGAATCCCCTGATACGGCTCACTTTAGCAATATCAATTGCTCCACAACTCTCACGACAATTTTAACTCCACGTTACTGCAGTCCTGCCGCAGTATGTACTGCATGTACCTGAACAGTCACAAGGCAACCCAAGGGAAGTGTTCAGTCGACCACCAGGCACAGGGTTACGGCTGTTCTGAGCACCGGTTTGTTCTGAAGATCCATTTTGGCCCCATTTACTTTGATTTAATTACACCATCCGTAAAATAGTTTACTATAGGTAAGATGAATCCAAAAAGGACCACCGGTGCGCCTTCCTTCCTGTGGGCTCTTAAATGAGAGACAGGCTTCTTGACACTAAATGAGGAATCATTCTAAACGTGTGAACAAGGTGCGACAAACTGGTGGTCGTGAGCTCACAAGTTGGCATGCACAGAAGAGTATCAAGCTTAACAACATCAGTTGTGTGAAATAAACTCCTCATGGCAACACAAAGCACAACTTCTGGTTTCACAAGAAGATAGAGGAATGTCGAACTGGAATGCCTGCTGCAAAGCAAGGACATGTACAGTAATGTGACTGCTGTGACAGCTCAATCAAAATGGTTTTTCACACCGCTGCTCTATGCGTTTGTGTGAATTTGTGTATATGCTGCATTTATGACATTCAGCGTGGATGACTTCTTTGCTTATTCACAACCCTTTTACCTAGTAAAAAACAAAATCCGAGATATCCACCGTTATAAACAGTGGCATTTCCTATAAGTGGAGAACCACCCATACTATTGAAAAACACAGAGTTTACAACACTGAAATACACAGAGTTATTGAAAATTCACTTGTCTACCTAAAAACATTGTTGCTACCCTAGTTAGCTCCATAGCTAACATGGCTCAGCTAAAGCAGAGAGAAATGTCTTTTCTATATCTTGGAGACTCTTCCTGCCAGTCTCTGGTCTAGTAAACCATATTAATGAAGACAAGTTATTTCAGAAGCCTCCATGTTAAGCCCTCCCTGGAGGGCTATGGCTTAGGTTCTTCATGGATCTAATTTGAAACATGTAAGCTCCAGCCTCCTTGTCTCCTGTGGCTTTATTGCACCTCTCCCTTAGTCAGCCAGAAACGGCCGCAGCGTGTGTGTATGTTCGGGCTCTGAGGGTCAGTCTTCATATCTCAAATGTCACAGTCGACGGTGCTGAAGCCTGGAATAGTGACCCGTCCCTTCCTTCTGAGGTCCCTCTCGAGTCCCACGTTGAGCCGCTGGATCAGGCTCTTCTCATACAGCAGGGGATGGTAAGCACCCAGTGTACAGGCAGCATCGTAATAACGCTCATGGTAGTGGCACAGGTCTGTCTGCCTCATGGAGGGGATGTACTCATATACATGCACCTTCTCGCACAGCGCCATCATCAGGAGGATGCCTGCAATGGCGCGAGAGAGAGAGAGAGAGAGAGAGAGAGAGAGAGAGAGAGAGAGAGAGAGAGAGAGAGAGAGAGAGAGATTCATTCAGGTATTCTTATTTAAAAATGTATTCTAAATTACTTTAAAGGTTCAGTGTGTACGTTTTAGTGGCATCTAGTGGTGAGGGTTGCAAATTGCAACCAGTGGCTCACAGTGCATTCACATGCTCCTTGGATGGTCCCATTTGCTGTGTTGTGAAGTCATTTTTCCGACACAAGTGTGTGTTTATGTGCCCTTAAGCATAGACAGTGTATTACTGGACAAAGGTGAAGCCAGTTTTGGACCAGTAAAATACTACTACAGGGCTACTTCCTGTTGGCACCAGCGTCTACTGCGCATGATCGCGCAGCATAACCGTGGTTTAATTTTGGGAAATGCGCTGTTTTGTTTTCTTGGCGAGAATTAGATGAGAAGGTCAAAAACATTCTCATATCCGCCTTCGAAGCTACAGCCAGCAGCTGGATAGCGTAGACTGAAAACAGGGGGAAACTACTAGCCTGACTCTGTCCAAAGGTAACAAAATCCACCTCCCTGCAACTCTAAAAAGCTCACTAAATAACATGTTGTATCATCTCTGTTTAACATATAAAACTCAAGTGTAAAAACAAGTAGCAGTTTAACGAGGGGTTAGAACAAAACTATTTCTAGGGCACAGTGATTTCTGGTTGCCGGGCAACATCATCTAGTCTTTAGAAATTAATGAGCTTCAGAGGTACTGGTAGGCTGGTGCTGGTTACCTTCAGCAAGAGCCATGCTGGCTTTTCCCCTGTAAGCTAAGAGGCTGCTGACTGTAGCATTGTATTTGACAGACAGATATGAATTACCACAGAACAAACTAGCAATAATCTTACAGCCTGAACAGGAATCTGTAGCCTGGTCCCAGACTTCTACATTGCTGTCCATATCTGTGCATCGATTCAAACTTGTCTGATGTGGTGACCATTGACGCCCATTTTCCCCAATTAGAAAAACAGTCAATCTATCAATCCAATTTGCATTATTGGCATTAACTTCAGAAGAACAATATTGCCAGAGCTTCAAGGATATTCATCCATCCATCCATCGTCAACCGCTTATACTGTTCACAGGGTCACGGGGGGCTGGAGTCAATCCCAGCTGACTTTTTTTCTGAGCTGATCCTGGTCTATTTTAAGGTACTGCATTGGCAACACACTTTTTTCCCCAATTTACGTCAATTAATTTAGCACGGTACGATCTTGCAAAGTATAAATTTGTTTTTCAGCTAACTGTACATGCACATACCTTACTGTGAGGAAATTTTCCATACGGAGCTCTATGTGGATAGAGGGTAAGGTATGGGCCATACACGTTACACATCTTTCTGTGTGTGTGTGAGAGAGTGAGTGAGTGAATGATGAAAGCTGGTAAGATTAGGAATGAGTCGTCATCTAAGCAGCCTTGGAAAGGAGATATGGTGTACTGTCTTACAATTTACAGACTGACTGTATGCACTTAGAATGCAATACATGTAACCTCAAACAGGACTTGGTTAATGCATTGGAGTCTAACATCCAGTAGGGGGGCTACACATATTTAGGTTAGTAGAGAATGACCCTGTATGCAATACATCTAGACTCAGTTTCCCTGGCTGGGCTTCAATAAATACTTCTGCTTAAGACATCCTGAAACCTTCCTTAAGAGTTGACTAGCTCACAAGAATTTCCTTCACACTTAACACTCATACAGGGTAGTATTAACTGATACTAATATGCACTCTCAGTTGGGGAAATCTGAATAGGTGTGGTCATAAAAAAGTAATCCAATGCACGTGCTCCTTTGGGAAAAGCATTTATCATAAAATTTCTACAGTGTCACAAATCGAGCACTGCATTTAAAGGCTAACTTCTGAACCTGGACCCAAAGCCACCAGACTCCATTAATGAAAATAGTAATTTTACCTTGCAGAACACAGGAGATTCTGGTCAGTTTCTTTGTGTTATTGTCTGACTTTGTTGTTTTTTTTTGTGTTATTGTGCAACATTTGTGTTTTAAAGGGTTAAAAACACCAAAGTCACGCAATAACACAAACTAACCTTAAAGACAGTTGTAGACCAGGGAGGTAAAATTACTATTTTTGTCAAGGGACTCTAGTGACTTTGACAAAAGCAATATAGCGACTGTCTCAAGCTAAACACAAAGAATTTTACTTTTTTTTTTAAAAAAAAGGTCCTTTTCATTATGTTGTCAGACAGTCAACTATCTCACCCTGTCATTGATAAAAACAAGCACTTTAGTGGACGTACTGTGACGACGTGCAAAGATTATGTTGTAGCCCTGTCTTGCTGCTGCCGACTGCAGCACGCTTGCTCAAAACACGACCAATTTTAAAAATTGTCTCAATTTGTCACACAGACACAAAAACATGGGAAATACGGTCCAGGTTAAAAAATATAAAAGTTACTCTTCAGCTGTGCTGAAAAAAAGCATGGTGCACAGCAAAACGCTCCTTTAGATACAGAAATAAATACATAATATATGAAGACAGTAAGTTTGCCTGCCTCAGCATGCGCAGTCTGGTATCTGTCATACACTGAGATGTTGGCAACACAAAGAGCAGTCAGCTCCCACATGCATTACTTTTTGTCGTTTTTCACTCAACCTTGCTTTGTAGACTGCTGCCGATTTCTGTTTATCATTTTCACTGTGATGATTGTTATTCTGCTCGCAACCTCTTCCTCCTTTGCTGCTCTCCACCACAATCACAATCACCTCAAATAATCAACCAAATCCTTCCTACACAATATGTAAGCATAAGTGTTGAATTACTTTACTGTACAGCCTTTTCTCTATAATATGTTTGTAAGCCACTTGGCTTTGTATTGTTTTCTTAAGATCCAGAAGTTTGACCGTCTACATTGTCCTTTTTTGACCTTATTTTCTCAGAATTATCAACATACCAATTAATTGTAAATAAAATCTCATCAGCTGCATTAGACCAGTTTATGGTAAGTTTTATTAGCCTTTACAACACAGACCTACAAAACCAACAGAAACATGTTTTTTCATTAAAATGGCAGTCAAGACATGTTTCTACTAATAAATTTCACTTCATTTGCACAATTTGAAGAATTTTCTACTTATTTTACACTGCTTTCTACAAATGTACAATTATATAGACAATCACAATCAGCACAATAGTGCTAAAATGATGGCCAAGTAGGCTAAGCATCAAAAAGTGTGCAAGCAATGGCTTGAGTTGTACAGCAATCATGACTCATTCCCTCGCAGTATTCAGGAAACACAGAGCAAGCACTTAAATTTCAAAGAGTAGCTCCCAGACCTTTCCAACTAAAGTGTTGAATGACCTCAAAGTTCAAACTACCCACGAGTGTTAGACGCCACCTTCTCTGCCAGCACAAAAATTCATTACAGAACCATTTCCTCCACTCAAGCAGCACACACAGCATGTACCTGTTGACTGTGAGGACATGAAAGTGCACTAAAGCATGATTTCTTATGATACTCTGAACAGACCGTACAGAGAGTCTCTCTGAGAGCATGAAACTAAGGTCAATCCACCTGAGGATTCCAGGAATTCTCCATTTGAGCTGGTATGTTGCGCAATCCATTATCTTTCCCTCCATCTTTTTCTCAGTTCTACAGGTGTTTCCTGATTCTGTTTCACTGTGATCACTGGTCAGCGGAGAATGGCAACATCTCAATGCCCTCCAAGACCACGGTAATCCAGCTGAACCGTAGAGTCCACAACAACACAGTGGCCTGCACCGCCCAGATCTCCACTGATGCTCTCAACCAGTGCTGCAGCACCCCAGCCACGAGGCACACAACTCTCCCCCCCACCGGGGTCACAACCTGAGCCTGGATATTCTCAACATAACCAGACAGGAAACACAGTCATGATGTAGCAGCTCAATGTGAACTAAAGTAAATGTAGTTTATGTGTGACCTTGCGTGTGCAGAAAGGAGTCTTTTTTTTGTGCAGTAGAAGTGTTTAAGAAACACTACATGGCCAAAGGTCTACGGACTCCTGAACGTTACACCCATGTGTGATTGGTGAGCATTTAAACACTTTTCTGGTTTCAGGCTTTCCAGAAAGTTTTGGAACCTGCTAGCAAGCAATTTCTCTCCTTCGGCCACAATGTGGGGTCTCCCTTAACTGGAAATGAGGAGCACAAAAATACACAACATGAGGAGATCTACTTTTGGCCATGTAGTGTGTACTTAACCCTTGTTTTATATGTGCTATATGTATATTTATATGTACAGGAAATGTTATCATCTCTACAAAGCACATTATCTTAATCCATCTATCTTAATTACATTGGAATCAGGTTGAAATAGTTTTTTTTAGAAAACTGTCTCATATTACATGTTATTTGTTGGCTGAATTCCTTTTTAAAATTTAGGCTCTTTTCTACAAAACTAAATCCTGGTGCCTCTTTTCTGTTGCCGTTCAGTCAGTTTGTCATTGTGCTGCTGTAAACGTTAAAGCTAGTCAGTCATATATTTGTGCTTCATCTATCAGTGTCTAAGTGGATCGATGTATTCTGTATTTTCCTCCTCTTTGAGCATCTGCGCTGCTCTGACTGTAAATGTTGCAGAATCTAACAAATCCTATCTTAAATTTAAATTTCAACTTGTATAATAATAATAATAATAATAATAATTAATTTTGGTCTGCATGGTAGGCATTTATTTTTATTCATTTCTGTGTTAGTGATCCTTTTTGATATAGTTACTTATGTTATTGCATGATTTTTGCATGCTGCTTTATAAATTAAATTTCACATTTATCACAAATCATGGACAGACAAAGAGTTACTTACACCTGCATTAAATTAAAGAGCTCAACCCCCATCTAGGAGTAACTGGTCTAACTAGGAGCCACATTGAGTTGTGGTGATTACACCCCTGACAAGTTAAGAGAAGGGGAGCTCATGGAATGGAATACGGGATGCCAAATGGCTCGTTTGTACTATTGTACTTATTGTTGGTTTTAATTAAATATCATTGCTGAGGAAGAGAATCATTGTATTGTCATGTTTCAAAAGAGGCTAAAGGTTCTTGCGAAAATCGTATGAAAACAAAATAAACAGGAAAAAAAGGCAATTTTCTAAAAGTGTTATGTGAGGCTCGGATACGATATGATATTACTGTCAATGGATTTCTGACCCTTTTCAGATCATCATCATGAACAGCTGCACTTGTCTTTCTTTTAAGTGATGCTGAAGAAATGCTGAGATTGAACTTGGACAACAATTAATTCATGAGATGTTTGAAAAAATGCACGTGACATGTTATAAAACGGCGTGCAACTGTGCATCCATCATTTTTTGTTCATACTGAAAAGGATGAATTACTCACTATGTAAGATTTATTTTTATAAAGAATGTAGCATATCACCATTAACTGCACATCTATTTATATGTAACATCATTTAAAATGTGACACTAATCTTCAAGTCAAATGATGTGTTTTGGTAGACAAAGCTCAATTTGTGATAGTGCCAGAATTCACTCCTCTTTTGGAAAGAAGAAAAAACCCTCCCTGGCGTACCAACAGTGCATCTCCTCCCTCGTACAGCCATAATGATTGCTTTTACATAGCAACCTCCATTTAATACGTAGCCATGTCACCTGAAAAGAAGGAGTAATTCACACCCACTTGCATTTTTTCTTTTTCATTTCCTCCGAAAGAAAAAAATCTAGCATTGGCGGGTGAATGTACATTTGCACTCCTTTATAACTCAGATATGGGTGAGATAGAAGCTAATTATTTTGATTAAGCAGATTATGCAATTAACAATAAAAAAGATGGTCTCACATATATATTAATTAAGTTTGTGCTTGATTAAAGACTCTGCAAGGAACATGCTTACAATTTAATTATTCAAGATGCAGGCAGTGACACCTTACGATTCAATAGGTTTTTTTGTTTGTTGACACTTTTATTTAAGAACAAGTGAAAGGAATACAGAAACTAAAACTCAAAGGCTTACTTCGCTTGTACTACTCCACTTATACTGACAACCTAGCATTGCTCCAAGACAATGAACAGTGATTCCAGAGGACATTCAATATCAGCAGTGAAAATATCACTAGATACTGAGTATCGACCATAAGAACAATTTTCTGTCGCTCAAAGGAAAACAAATCTTGCCATAATTGTATTTTTATGAACTACGGCTGTATGGAGGGAAAAGCATAATTAAGTGTCTGAAAATTAGAGAGGAAGAAACAGACATGAAGGGCATACTGACATGCTGGAGTGCTTATAGTTGTTACATCCCCGCCAACCCCTGCACAGATATGCAGGCTGGTAATGTCACTGCGAAGATAAGAATTTAATATCTTAGCGTGCGTGTCTTTGCACCTATATGTGCTCCAGGAGGAGGCGAGGAAATGTACCGATAAAGAGGCAGCTGCATACACTGCATGCATACCAGCTTAATATATCCATGTACAGTACGTGTGTGTACTTGCCTATGAAGCCAGATGAGGGAGGATTAGGCTGGATATTCTCCTGAGTGTTGCTCTGAATCACATCCCAAAGTCGCCACACATAGCTGGGGTGAAGGATGTAGAAGGGCTGGTCAGGATGGAGCTTGCGGTGCTCCACGTACGGACCAAAAAGGTTGTAGTCCGGAGTATCATACCACTGACAAAGAAAGGAGTTACAGGGTTACAGTTTCAAATGGCAAGATCAATATGTTTGTCAGGTTTAGATCCCTCTCCACATCACCTTCACAACACATTGCCACAAAGGCTGTGGGAATGGGGTGTGCGCCCACTTAAAAATGTGTTTTGCTTCTCATTACGTCACTTTGATGTTTGCCCGTCACTGTGCAGAATTATGTATTTGCAGAGTTTGACACTAGAAGTCTGTCCATTCATCTGCTGCAGGAGGGAAAGTTACTCTGTGCTCACCTAAAATCTAAGTATAAGGTAGGTAGGTACATAAGATGTGTACGTACAAGAAATTCTGACATTATAAATGGTTCGGAAACTAATCATGGTTCAGTGCAACTGCAAAGTGTGATGTAAAAACCTGAAAACGCCCAGTTTAGGGACATTTCAGTAAAGTAGGAGACATCTTTTGTCCAGGAGATATTGGCAAAGTCATACTTTGGATTTTTTTTTCCCCCCCAAAAGAGGGAGTAGGAGCAGATGTAATTTTAAGAAATGTATTTTTTTGTTGAAATACCATTTCCAAAACCAATTATTATTCAAAGCAGATTATTTTATACATCTTAAAACATGCCTGGAGGGGATCTTTCAGATATTTTTAAGTGGTTGGTGTGTTAAATGATGTTTATATGGGGCCTACATGTAAATACAAATGTAGTATAATTATGTGCTTATTCAGGCATTTTGTTATCTAGCCAGTCGCTTGCTGGGACACAACAAAAGGTTCACTGTGATGACACAGTCATCACATTGGCAAAGTAAATGTAAAGAGAAAAAAAGGGGTTAAAAATGCAAGCTAGAAATGGTGTTTTAATTGACAGAAAACACTCCTTCTACTCTCCCTCTGATTCTGAAAAACATCTTTCTTTCATCTTTATAAAGAAGTGCTACTCTTCAGATCTATCCTCAGACCTGACTGAGCAAGCATGCTTTCATCAGAAAAAAAACAAAACAACAGTCAAGATGTGCATTGTCTTTGAGAACTTCCTGTCAGTAACCGATATGTAGAATGTTCCTTTTTGCAAAGGTTAAGTATTGAAAACACATGACAGACGGACAGACAGACAGACGCAGGATGCTATTATGGCTACTGAATATGAACATATCTTGAAGTGACTTCTCTTCAAAGAGAGCCATAAAAAGCCTCCAGTCTAGGTAGAACATTTCTCACCACCACTTTAGGCTGTGTGGTTGTGCAGTACATGTGGCTCTGCCCTACATGTGGTTCAGTTTATTTGTTCAGTTGGGAGTAATGTTTTATTTAAACTTTTCTCTTGTTTTTTGTGTTACACTGTGAGATAAATAATGTGGAATATACATGGTATGCATTAGAAAAAATATAGAACTAAATGCAATATACCAAAACAACCAACATTGTTTTGGTATATTGCATTAACTGTGTTTTAGTTAGTTGTAATTACCACATATAATTTTGTTTGACTTATTATGCAAGAGGGAGTCCATCAAAATATTTAGGAAAGATTGTATCAGCGTGACAGAGCATCGTTTTGTTTAACATGTCAGTCTGATGTGAGAACCTGACTGTGGCAAATAAATAACAAGTAGGCTACAATTGCAGAAGCAGCTGCTCTAAACAGAGAAGCTCTGTCTATCATTAATGACACTGAACACCACGTCTATTATGAATTTGCGAAAACCGCGATGATGTTCAAGAAGGGCATAATGAACACTTTTACTGTGTTGTGTCCACCGTCTTCATAATCAAGTTTATTTTATTCTATAGCTTTGTCTTGTTCAGTACAATGGATCAAACTACATGCACAATGATGTAATAGCTTTTTCATTAAGCAAAGAGAGCCTGATGAAGTGCTGGGCTTTTCCACAGATCCCTAATAACTGACTCAAATTATGACTAAAAATTAAGCACCAATTACCTACAATACGTTATGATACCAAATACATACATCATGCACTAAATACTCCACTATGATTAATTTAGTACACTTTCCGCATATAATATGTTAGATCACAATTATCAGAAAACTGTGGGAAATGGCCATTACAATCTCACATAACACTAGAGGAGGTATTAAAATTGCTTGTTTTATCTGACCAGCAATACAATATTCAGATTACTATCATAGAAAACAAAGAAAAGCACGAAGTTTGAGATCCTGGAAGAATGCTGCCGTTAATTTTCTGTCAGTCAACTATTTGATTAATTGATGAATTGTTTCATGCCCAGAAATGCAACCTGTAAACAGTATACTGTACTGAAATTGACCAGATATTTATTTGAAATATAAAACACATATTTTCCGTTTCCCTTTATTGAAATAACAAATGCTGTCAGCAACAGTAAAACATACATTTTCATTTGGGTACTTTTTAATCATTTGGCCAATAAACACAAACTAATGGGATGGTGACGATATGAAAATTGGAAGTAAAGCTTCCAGAGACTGACCATGAGGCACCACAGGCTGTAAGAGACAGTGCACTACAATCAGTATTTTGTTGGCATTTACTCAGGATACTTACTGGCATTAGTTGTAGGAAAAATAGGTAACTGGATTGTATAGAACAGGTCAGGTGTCAGTAAAGCACACCATGTCCTTTATAAAAATCCCATCACTGTCTTTCAGTGAGCCTTACCTTTACTTTTTTGTGTCCCTTTTAGCTGTGGTAAAGAAGCTGCCTTTTGTTTCTTAAATTAGCTGCTTCAGTAATGCAAAATAAAAGATTCACCTCCACCTAGCAGCATTACTTTGTGTGAGCACCCTGGAAAATGTTAGTGTAGCCTTGTCACATCATTCAGTGACAACCATTGCTCCCTACAGAGAACTAAAGGTTAAACCCTGAAAACTAGTCACTGTTCATTTGGAAGGACATGGGTTGTTATTAGCCTGTGAAAACAAAAGATGCATGTAGCATGCAAATCAATTTTAATAGCAAAGTATGTTTCTTAGGTTATTAACCTGAACACTTTAGCTCTCACAGAAGTCTAGGATAGTATTGATTGTGGCAGCAGACAATTCCCTGAATGTCAATTATAAAAAGGTAACACAAAGAAGAAAGGGTGAAGAGAGGAGGTCACAATAAAAACATGCTTTCGGAAACATGTGCTAACATGAATTTCTATGCATATTTCTGGCTACATGTACATAATTAGATCTATTAATGTTTTCTGTCCATTCATTGTGGATTCATTGAAACTGTTTAATTGTCTTTTAAAGTCAACAGAGGTAACAACAGTGGCAGGCTACAGACAGCTTAATGAATTGGTTATATGGTTCCTGTGAGCAAAAGGACAATTGATACAAAAAACCTACCTCTTGTAAGTCGACAGTGTAAGGTGCAGGGTCCCAGGCCACCAGAGTGATATTCTTGTAGATTGAGCTTGTGTTGAATCGATGCTGAGGATTGGCCAAAATCTGTAAAGGTAAATAATGCAGTGGAAAATTAAAACAAAATTGTATGCATTTGAGCCTCAAGCCAAACAGTGCATTAGCAATTACTTTACCAATCTGAATCAGCGCATCAAAGCCAAAATCACTTTAAAGAATTAGTTCAACATTTGAGGGAAATGCGCTTCCCACTGCCTGCATCACTCAATTAGCTTAGGTTAGCATAAAGACTGGAAACAGGGGAAAGGGCTAGCTTGGCTCACCAATAAACACAGGCTAACTGTTTCCAGAGCTGAGGAGAACTTTGGACTCAGGTGATAATTATTTCTGGCTTTGTCACTACAAGCAACACCTTTCACATTACACAATAATTTCATCAGTTGTAAACACAAAAATATATATTTGATAATATTTGAGCACCTGCAAAAGAATTAATTTAACAACGATATTTCAGCTTTGGGCTGACAGATGAGACATTTTCCTAGTTTTGTGTATTAAAACAGAAGGTCATTTACTGTCTTTGAAGAGTCTGAACTCCAACACAACAACTATGACCTCGAGCAATTTTCAATTTGCAGGAGGTGCGATATTTGTTAAGGCATGATGTGTCAAAATAGGATTTGTAAATAAAGCATCGTCATTCTGCTGAGATGTCTTGGCCTACACATCATATTACACGGACTTAAGAAAAAATTGCAAATCATATGGTAATTGCAATATCAGTCATGATAATTGCACTTAAGATATTTTTTTCAAAACCATTCAGCCCTAATTCTTAAGCTCTGATTTTAGTTCTTGTCTAGATCAAGCTCTGATCTAGTTCTAGAGTGCACTACAAGTATCATTAAGGTCAGAAACAAACTATCCTCAAATAAGCATATTTGTTCTAAAGCATATTATATAATAGAGAGAATCCTATAATACTAACCAGCCATCAATAACACAACATTCACTGCATGTATTTAATAAAAAATAAATAAAAATAAGGGGGGTTCGAAGTGATAACTCATTTCAATTTTCATCATGCACCACTCCACGTGTTATATATTTGTTTCAGTGCGAGTGACACAGCTCTCAGAAGATATACATCTATTAATGATTCACTATACAAGGACAGACTCACTCACCTGTGAGTTGATGATGCGGATAGTGGTTTTGCTCCCCACGTCTCTCTCGTACCGCTCTGTAGGTGCAGCGTTGAACCGCAAAACTGCATCATGAGTATCTGAAAAAGCAAACCACAGAGCAAGCTACTTGAAGCAGGTAATGAACGGATCTTGAGGCAACCACTAATTAAGACAACACACAGGAATATATTAAAACTAAAGCTGGGTGTGTTTTTCTTTAAATATTATTCCAATAAGATAAGAGTTCAGTATGATACACAAACATATTTACAGTAAATGTTAATTGAAATCAAGCAATATATTTTTGGTATTTGAAGTTTGACATCCAACCACAGAGTTCTTCAGATAAATGCAAACTAGGACAAACAGAGATGTCTTGTCACTGTCCTTCAGAATTGCTAGTCTTATTTCCTGGAGACAACTTCGAAAAGAAAAACTACATAAAAGGGACAATGTAGCTCACTGAGAATGACTTCCAACTCATGTACACAAAACATAATTTTGTAGACAGTTACATCAATTGCCCACGACCATCAAAGCGTTTCTGGCAGAAGTCACTTTTACAACACAGTGACAGCACTGATTATCACACTGACTGTTAACGTCTGGCAGCTTCACAGACGTCTCCAAAGTGCTCTCTAGTGGTCAGCTGTTGTAACTGATGCAGCACCACTTATGTAAAGAGCTTTATTAGAAAGATATTCGTTTCACTCATTCTGTCCACCTTTTGCTTTGTCCATATAGTGTCCTTCATAGTTTACACACAAACACGAAATCCTCAGCTTGATGGATGATTGTAGTAATAATTAGAAACATGTAATGTCTGCCTGTCAGCAAATCGATCCGTCAGTTCCACAAAGCCTCCTCCTGCATTGACCTGACAACAGAATGGATGATCGTCCAGCCTATGATGCGATACTCCTTAATCACTGCCACCAGTCCAATGTTACAGCACTGACTCACAACACAACCAACTGCACACACTCAGGGATGGCATGTCTGTTCCCTCCAGAGCTACTAGACACCCAGTGTTTCCCCTATATTCATTCAGAAGTGGCGGTGCGCCGCTGCTGAATCACGACCGCCACTACTACAATTTCCCACGATCTTTAAACTATGCGCTACAAATATTTTCACTCGCACACTGTGCGAGCACGGCAGCACTCAATGCTCTGCTCACTTCCTCTCCTCTTTCTATGTAGAACATACATGACAGATGGTGTTCAATCTCCCAGTCAACAATAATTCAATGACTTTTCAATAAGAGCAGCATAACTCTGAATCAGGAGGTGTGTAGCGAGTGTTTGATTGTCCGAGCGGCAGAAAGTGACGGTGAACGCGAATGGAGGAAAATATTCTGGCAGTAACTGTACGGTGTTTGTTAGCAGGAAAGCTTCTACAGCAGCTACACAGCTGCTATGTAACTTAACATTAGCTCAATTTATAGAAAGTAACTGGAAGCTGTATTTTATTACTGCCTACTTGTCCAATGTTGAGAACATCAGGTACAAACTTGGACTAAACTGACACAGCCTGCAGCTCTGTCCTGTACAGACTGATTCAATTATTTTTCATGGAGGAGCTGAGGTTAGTAAAGCTAATTAGTGATGCAAACTAGTCATTTTAAGCTAATGAGGAGACGTTTCTTTTTGGATTTTAATGTGCAAATAAAATGCACCTCAGAAGGAAGGCGGTTTCTCATGTTTCCTATTTTTTATATTAATGTCTACAAATGTCAGAAGCTGTAAAATGAAGACACAAAAGGCAAACATGAACAGTCCTATCTATAATGATTCTGAGGTCATATTAACAGGGTTTTCCTGCCGTTAAGTCTTAGGGGTGATGCCCAAAACATGCTGTGCCATCAATGTAAAATCACTGTGGAGCAACAGAACCAACCAAATCACTTTCTGCAGATCTAAATGTTCCTCCAGTAGACTGATCTTTGGGTGTTTATTTATTATCTGCTATAGCTTTTCCAACTATTTGTTCAGAGATATGGTGAAAATAATGTCCCAATATGATGTGAAGTTACATATTTTTCATTGGAAAACATACAATTTACATACATTCATCTAAAGCTCATATTAAACCGGGAAAACACTGCAGTTTTAAGCTATTCTAAGGTGCATCGCATGCTCATGGACACAAGAGCAATGTTGCTGAAACATGTGTTGGGGTTTTATATTCAGACAAAAATGTTGCTTCACCTCCACTGCTACACCTCCATCCTAGGGGAAACACTGAAGTTTATTGGGGGGGGTTTGTTCTGCCCCCGCTTCTGAAAAAAAATCCTAGAGGAAACACTGTCCGATGGATTTTCAAGGTTTTCTTAAAGCAGGGATCGTTCTTCCAGCAGAAAAGCATGTTGCTGATAAAGCAAAATAATCTGAGGTTAGTTTTACTGAAGAGGAAATATGGGATTATTTTCCTATCTTTATTCAAGGGCGGGGTCTTTCCATTTGAGAGAATGACTTACTGATTTCACGTTCAGATATTCTAATACTTTATTCTAAAATGCTGGCCTCGCACTCAAACAGCCCCCGCTTGCACTTTTGGTCTGCTTCTGGGCAAACTGTATGCTTGAATTCAGATATATTGTTGCTTGCACAAATTTTCTGCGGTTTTATCCTTTTACACTTTTTCTAATTTCTATTTACTTTGTATAATTTTTGGATGTATATTTTTAAATGTCTAGGTTATTTTCAATCAATTATCAATATACTTTAATTTTTACATTCCTGTGTTATTCATTTATTCATTATTTTATGTTTTTTTAATGGTGTTTTGATGCACTAGATACTATTGATTATCTGGAGATAAGCCATCACTACTAACTTTTTTCAGTAGCCAGTGATTCTCAATCTTGTCTGACTAACATTTTAAAATGAAGTGATGCCTTTCTCATGACTCACTTTACAGGGTGCAGAATAGTGAGCAGTTTAATAAAAAAAATCTATTTTCTTTTGATACCTAATCAGAAGAGCCCTAGAGGTTTAAAACGGCCAGGTACTTCAAGACAAATTCCGAACACATACCCAAAGATGAATAGTAAATTGTAAAAACAACAATTATTTCTTAGAGAATTTAACGAATGACTAAAGGTATTACGTGACTCCCAGTTTGAGAACCAGTCTAGATTCATGCCATTTAGTTTGCTTGAAAGTGCAGGAGAAAAATGTGATGGGTGTTATTCTCTTTTTTGACACGCAGTCTACTAAACGATTTGTCAAAAACTAAACTGAGATCAACTGACAAAAGAAATAAGGATTACATGCAGATCTAGAAGAGTGGCTATTTAGTTGTTTTTTTAACAGCATTAACAGTAATTATCTTCTGATATAACATCACATTTGGGCTATTTGTGTTTTCTGTCCTGCATTCAGAAAATCACATGGTGAACACATGTACAGGTGCCGGTCATATAATTAGAATATCATCAAAAAGTTGATTTCAGTAATTCCATTCAAAAAGTGAAACTTTGATATTATAGTCATTCATTCCACACAGACTGATATTTCAAATGTTTATTTATAATCCCAAATTCAGTATCTCTGAAAATTAGAATATTACTTAAGACCAATACAAAAGCAGCAGAAACATGAAGTGCTCTAAAACTTCCTGGTAGATGGCTGCATTGACCTTGGATCTCATCTCAGTGGACCAACACCAGCAGATGACATGGCACCCCAAACCATCACTGACTGTGGAAACTTTACACTGGACTTCAAGCAATGTGGATTTTGTGCCTCTCCTCTCTTCCTCCAGACTCTGGGGCCTTGATTTCCAAAGGAAATGCAAAATTTCCTTTCATCAGAGAACATAACTTTGGACCACTCAGCAGCAATCCAGTCTTTTGTCTTTACCCCAGGCGAGACGCTTCTGATGCTGTGTCTTGTTCAAGAGTGGCTTGACACAAGGAATGCAACAGCTGAAACCCATGTCTTGCATACGTCTGTGCGTGGTGGTTCTTGAAGCACTGACTCCAGCTGCAGTCCACTCTTTGTGAATCTCCCCCACATTTTTGAATAGGTTTTGTTTCACAATCCTCTCCAGGGTGCGGTTATCCCTATTGCTTGTACACTTTTTTTCTACCACATCTTTTCCTACCCTTTGCCTCTCTATTAATATGCTTGGACACAGAGCTCTGTGAACAGCCAGCCTCTTTAGCAATGACCTTTTGTGTCTTGCCCTCCTTGTGCAAGGTGTCAATGGTCGTCTTTTGGACAGCTGTCAAGTCAGCTGTCTTCCCCATGATTGTGTAGCCTGCAGAACTAGACTGAGATCATTTAAAGGCCTTTGCAGGTGTTTTGAGTTAATTAGCTGATTAGAGTGTGGCACCAGGTGTCTTCAATATTGAACCTTTTCACAATATTCTAATTTTCTGAGATACTGATTTTGGGGTTTTCATTAGTTGTCAGTTATAATCATCAAAATTAAAAGGAATGAACACTTGAAATATATCAGTCTGTGTGGAATGAATGTATACATTATACAAGTTTCACTTTTTGGATGGAATTACTGAAATAAATCAACTTTTTGATGATATTCTAATTATATGACCAGCACCTATAGGACACTAACAAAATAATGTTTTTATAGCACTGTTCAAACTACTCTGATCCTGAGTATTGCAGTTTGTAGCTATTCTCATTATTTAAGATTTTTGCTTCTAAAAGAACAGAACAGTTTGGCCCTCATGTGGCTGACCTTTGACCCTGATTTCTCAAAGCTTAAAATCACTTCTTAAGACCTGTTGAGTCTGCAGCATGTACCCACCATTTCCCGCTACACTTGATCACTGGTTTGGTTTAACCTCAGCCTGACCAGGATCAATATTCCACCTTGTTTTTGTGATTATCTTATTTTCTTATCACTCATTTCTAATGAGTGAACCCCACTTGACATCAACTCAAAGTATTAAACATACCAACTAGCATATGAAGTCAATAGTATATCCGTAGCCATATATAGCTGATATAGACTGAACTTTTCAAGAAGAAATGCCTCTTTTAAATTATTATTGAATTGGCTTTAAAACAAAGCTTAATGAGAAGATTTTGACTTAAAGAAGAAAACAAAAAGGTAAAGAATGGTT